GTAGCCTTACAGAACAGGAGGGGACTCGACCTACTCTTCCTGAAACAAGGGGGACTGTGCCTAGCATTAGGGAGGCGTGCTGCTTCTACACTAACCACTCCGGGGTAATCAGAGAGAGTTTAAGTCAGTTAAGGAAACGGCTGATGGACAGAGAAGAGGCCCATAGAGCAGAGGGGAACTGGTATGAGAATTTGTTCTCCTGGTCCCCGTGGCTCACAACCCTCCTATCTGCTGCGGCAGGGCCCCTCCTCTTACCAATAGTAGGTCTCATTTTCGGACCCTGCCTGCTCAGGTGTCTCCTCAATTTTATCCAAGACCGAATCCAAGCTGTCAAACTCATGTTCCTGCACATCCAGTGCTCTCAGCTAGTGGATACTAGCGATGAATACAGGGTCTGAATTCGTCTCCTAAGACCAATAAGGAGTGTGATGAATTGAATGTCAGTATAAAATTTTCAAATCTGTTCCCCAGCCGTGCCCCAGTTAGAGTTCTCTGTAAACTGACAAGAGATCAAGGATGTGGTCAAGGATGGGTAACCAGACATAACACCAAGTTTCCAACTTCCTGACATCTGCGCATCAAGGCCCTGATTAGACCCTTGCAACTGTAATCAAGGACATTTGTGGTTTCTGTGAATAAAAGCTTGCCTAGCACCAAGGTCGGGGCTGCTGCAGGAAGAGAGTTCCCTGTGTGGAGACACCTGTGGCAGTCTCTGGCCAGCTCAATAAATCCTCGCTTGCTGCTTAAGACCTAATTGGAGTCGGTGGTCTTATTCTCGCAAATGCTGGTCCACAACAGCAGGCCAACGTTCTATCCACTGAGCCAAACCAGTTAGGGCCAGGTCTTATCTTTAAGGTAAATAAAGATTTATAATTCTGAAATGGATACCTATATTCATGAAAATACTGGAAAATAATAAAAATAGAAAATGGTGATGGATCTAAGTGAAATGATAACAGTTGTTATTCTTATAACTCTATTTTACATATTGTTGATTTTCAATTCTTTTGTTTTCAAAATAACAGGAAAACTACAGGATATATTCTACATTGGTATCAATGTCCCATTAACTAGGCTATGGGGACTACTAAAGATAAAATATTCATTTAAAAATGAATTCCAGGAACACAAAGACTTCACAGACCACAACTTACAACTAGAAAATTTTTATCCCTTAAAGAATACATAAACCTGTTTCCCACTATGATGGATGGGACTATCTCATCAGGGGCCTAACGATGAATGGATATCTGGGTCTTTCTGTGACACCCCCATCCACCTGCTTCCCTAACTCAAGCTGCCTCTCCCTTCAGTTGGGGAGACAGGGAGGGGCTGAGAGAGCAGGCTGCCCTTCCCCTCCCCGCTCCTCTCTGAGGGTTTAAGGATCCAGGCAAATCGCAGGCAGAAAGTTTCTGGTTTCAAACCCAATCGGCCCACCTTTTGAGTTCCCTGTAACTTCACTGTAAGAATGTGCTCCCGCCTTGTGAAGATCCTGGGAAAGACCCCTCCCTGGGACACCTGCAGCTGAAGGGCAGCAC